GGTGGGTGGGCAGGGCCGCGAGGCTGCCACCCCGGTGCTGCGGGGACGCCCCTTTGCAGTGCTGCCACCAGCCCGGCCGTCCTTCTCAGGCCCGCGGGCGCTGCAGTTAGCGCACCTGCTCCGTTCCGCAGTTTGAGACGGGGATGGGAGCGGGCGGGGTGGGAGGAGGCGAGGGGCCCAAGGCCAACACTCCCGTCTCGTAGGCCTGTGCACTGGCCAGGAGTGGCGGTGGGACAATACAGGGTATTCTGTTTCGGAATTCAGGAATAGCCAGTTCTAGAATAAGCTATTCCAGAATGATCGGAGCTCATTCATGGCTCATTCATGGAGAAGTCGGCGATTACCTCGCTGAAACAGCGATGTCAGTAATCTAGATCAGTTATTTTTGTAAACAGAGGCACAGTTACTCAAGGTACCTACGGCATGAGGCCTAGGAGAAAAAGAATGGTGAAGAAGGTTGTTCTGCCTTAGGCTTAAGCACTGATCCTTCAGAATTAGAAAAAATACATCTAAAATGCAAATATAACAGAAGTCCCAATAATTGCTGCCTCTGTGTTTTTTGTTTTTTTTAAGCAGAGTATCGCTCAAGAAAACTCTCTTCAAAAGTGGAAGGAGCACCTACTACAATGATGAATGCCGATATGGATGGTATAAATTCTTAATGTTCTTGTTATTCTAATTAGTATAATTTCAAACTGTTAACAGAGGTTGCACTAAAACTCTCATGATTTATTGCAGCTGTTGAGAATCAGGTGGAATTAGAAGAGAAAACACGGCTTATTAATCAAGTTTTGGAACTGCAGCATACACTTGAAGGTTAGCAGCTTGACACATCAGATTTTTTACAAATATACAGTAATAAGCAAAAGAAAATAACCTGACTGCTCTTGCCCTTAGTCACAGTGTCCAGAAGTATGTCACTTAAAGCAGCTGAAGAATCAAAACCAAGGTCTTGGAAATAGGTTTTTTTTCTTCCTCTTTATACAACATTATGTTTGCTCAACCTTGGAAATACACAGCAAGTAGAACAGGCAATAGAGTTAATATGTCCATATTTATTAGAGGACACACATCTAAGGCTGCTCATCACTGAACTTGTCTCTGAGTAATTTAGTTTGCAGTAACCTAATTCAAAAATTCAAGAAAGTAATAAACTTACAGTCTAGCAGTAAGTTTAAAAAGTTGGTTAAAATACTGTACTACAAAATATAGGAAAAGTGGCCTTTAGGTATAGCACGAGTAGGAGAATGTTGTATAATACCCAGTCGTAATGTTTTCTGAATTAAAGGTGTGACCAGTCTGATGTAGGCCAGTAGAACATATTCATTATTGTATGCAATAGTGTCTAATATTTTTCTTATAATATCACCTTCGCAGATCTCTCAGCACGAGTAGATGCTGTTAAGGAAGAAAACTTGAAACTGAAATCAGAAAACCAAGTTCTTGGACAGTATATAGAAAATCTGATGTCAGCATCTAGTGTTTTCCAAACAACTGACACAAAAAGCAAAAGGAAGTAAGGGTTGACTCACAGATTATGTAATTGTATTGCTGCTGGGTTTTATTTGTTGTTAACTGGCATAGGCTACATAAGCTAAAATTCTTTAGTTTGTGGCTTACTGAATTCTCAAAGATTATAAACTTTGGTAATAAACAGAATTAAGAGCATTATCATGAACAGGAGACAAGTTTGTGTAATAAGCAATGTGCAAATGTAGTGTAGATAATTATAAAATTGTAGTATTTGTTTTAAAAATGATCATATCTTGTTAAAAAGCAGGTTAGTTTGTCAGGTTAAACAAAGTTCTGTTGGCACTCTGAGGTCTTAGGGTAGATTTCTTGACTAGCCTGGTAATAGTTATAATATTGTGTTGAAACCCCATTTGATAAAAATACTCAGTTTAACTGCATCACTTTTTTCACCTGAGATGTGTTTACTGTTCATAGCTCTACAAAACAAAACAAAAACCTATAAACCAGTTAAGCATTTCTGTGAAGTAGGAACACTATGACGTTGTTTGCGGGGCTTGTATACAGAAAAACACCTTGTACTTTTTTGGGAAGGGGGTAAGAGAGATGCAGTATCAGATATAATATGTACATGTGAAACCATTGCTGCTTTTCCATTTCCCTGAAGAATAATCAGGCACATCATCACAATGTATGATCTTCCTGAAGTTCTTCTGTTGTGTAATGAAAAGTTAAGTAAAAACCTCAGTGATAAGCTTTCCAGAAAGAGGTCAGCAATGCTTCTCATGCTCATGAACAAACTGCAGCAAGGAACTGAGAACAAGTCTTTCCTTCCCCCTTTTACTTTCCTTCTGAAGTGCCAAACTTGTCTTCGCTTCAGACCTCAGAGCAGCTGTTTTCCTGCCTCATAGGCTAAACTTGTGTAGATCTTCTTGAGGCACTGCATAAAAACAGCTAAGGCAGAAGGATGCAGTGGAACAATGGTGGATTTTGCCTATCAAAATGGCACTGCTCTGAGCAATGCCTGGTGGCAAGATGCTGTTTTTTCTTGGCTTGGCTGTTAGGTTTTGTAGGGGAGCTTAGCCCAGATTATGGGTCTGAGCACTTCCCACCGAGGCAGCATGTACAGCATAATCAGTATTAAGGGAGAGCAGAAGCTGAAATACAAACAAGTAAGTAAATTTTAGCAGTACTTAGTTACATCTATTTCATCTTGTCCTACAGCAGCTCTGCACTTATTTACGTATGTTAGCTAGGACTGAGTTCTCACTTCAGTAATGAAGCCATTTTACTTGACCTTTTAAAAGGAAACCACTAGTTCAAGGAGCTCTCTCAAGCATAGTGTGAATGAGGCAGTGTAACAGAAGAATAAATCCTTCTCAAATCCCAACTTTCTTAGCAGCCAGGTACTGCTGTCTCAAGTGTAAGATGACATTGTGAGGTTCCCCTCTCCCAAAGGTCAGGTTTCCCATTTCTCCCCATTTAAAATGGCTGTACAATGCTCGAGTCAAAAGACTCTAAACAAAGTCAAAAGACTGCAAACAAAGCACTAATAGTACAGTCTTGAGGGCTGTTGACAAGTCTGGGTCAAGAAACCCAATGATGAAAAATGGATGATACCATTTGTGTCATGGGGTCCTTGTCAACATCTCAAATTAATTTTAATCTTCTTAATTTTAATCTTCTATGGACTACTTTTTCACATTACTGGAACTCTAAATTAATCCAAGAGTTTCTAGCAGGTAGAGTAGATCATAAGGCTAGAGTTTGAGGATTAAAATAACAATCATAGAAAGCACTTGACTTCTAAAGGTTGCATTGCATTATAGCCATCATAGCTTTAAAGCCACATTCCTACCGTCTCCATCTGCACTGTAGTTCACCTGGTAACACAGCATGCGCTTGTTAAGACTTCAGCAATTCCCAAGATAAAGTAATTTTAAAATTATGGTTTTGTATTGTAGATTGGATAGTGGTATTTTATCCATCAGTGTGTATACAGCAGTTATTTAATCTCCATGCCATTTTACATCCCACTACTGTGGCCTTCATTTAACTTACGAACATTTTAAAGATGTTGTATTTCTGACTTTACACCAAATAAAAACCTTTCATTTGTCTCAATTAGTTTGGTTTAACATTTGTAAACCCTAAAACTTCTCATAACTATCTGTAGTCAAAAGGTGAAAAGGCAGTAGGGTTAGTAATCATCTTAATGGTTTTGATATAGCTGAACGGTCTGAAAAACTAGATGTAATTGAGATTAAACTTGGTTAATGAATCTAGTTCTAGCAAAGCTTCAGTTTCTCTCTATTTTCAGCCATCAGTCATACATTTCCGTCTACTCTTCTATTCTTTATAAATTAAAAAGGAAAAGGATTGGTAGACTGCATCCACTGTCGTCAAAAAGCTAAAGCTTGTACTTCTCCATGTGGGAGACTGTTAAGCCAAGTTAGAAATGTTACTTTTTCCTAACTTTTAGTGAGCTTTACATTAGACAGAAACCAGAATTATTACTTCATCGTGCCTTCATGAATGCAGATGCCAACTGAAGAGTAGGAGTAGCTTCAGCTGTAACTAAATAAAAGGGCATCAGTACTACTTGGCCTTCCCTGCATATAAAAAGTGTTCAGTCTGGGATTTGGCATCCTCAGACTGAGAGCTTTTTTATCAAGCTACAGCATAGCCAGAGGGGTGCAGGCTGTGGAGATCTTGCTACTTATGGAGTTCCAAAGACGACTGACAGTTTGGACAAGACATGCTGGAACTGAAAATCATTATTTTTTTAATTTTAAAGCTCTTTCAAGCAACCATGATAGCAAGATGAAGTTCGTTTCCTGACATACCTGTTCAAATAAAAATGGAGAGTGCACAGGAAGTGTGATTGAAATCTCACTGTTGCTTTGTATCAATGAACAGACGTTGCTTAGCTTTCTACCTCTAGAACCTCAAATCCTCAACATCTCTGGTATTTCTCCTCTACTTATCAGCATAAATCTAGATCCAAATAAGCTAATGTGCAGAAGGATGTATGCTATCTATAGGTTCTAGGTGATCAAAGCTGATGGGGCATCAATCAATACTTTATGGGAACTTTTGTTTTTTTTTAAGTTCAAAAACCTAAGGGAATATGCCCATCCCCTATGGGGTGACTAATCTCTGGAGTAACTAAATTACATCAAAGAAATGATAATAACTAGAGTAACTATCACATATCAGAGGAAAAAAACCCCTCCAAAACCCCTACGCAAACAAACCAGACTCCCAGGACATCCAAATGCTCTAACAATTCCAAAGGACTTCTATCAGACTAAGACATAATTAATTTAAAAGGTGAGCTGAAGTGCTCCCTGACAGCTCACCCTAACTGTTGCCAGCAGAATACTACACTGGTAACAGCTTTTATCTATTGCTGAGGAGTAATCTGGAGTTTTCACTTCTTGCCTTTTGCATAGACACCCTAAATAAAGAGGTGGCAACTTGCAGTTAACTTAAAAAAAAAAAAAAAGGACAAAAAAAGCCCCAAGTTAAACAAAAAACTTACAGACATTTCCATGTGATTCACACCAAGTAAAAATCATGTATAATTAACTTTTGAACACTTTGAAACAAGCATTTGAGGACACGGGCTTCTTCATTAGGGTTAAGCATTCATTTCTTAGAGACTTCCATGGAATCTGCTGTGAAAATACTTCTTTTGAAAGCAGGTAAATTTTATGACAGGCACAAGAAAATCTGTTAGATTCCTTATGAATTAATGTATTTCTACTTGTTTGTAATGTATGACTACTTCTGCTAGCATTTACACATTCTACTACAGGCAGCTGCCAAGTAGCAAGAGGTTTCTGGTGACTGAAATTTTACTGTTTAATATACAGCTGAACTTAAATGAAACCAAGTTTCTTTACAATAAGCAGTTTATTTAAACTATGAGAATGCCCAAGTTACTCACATCGTAAAAAACTTAATCCATCAAAAATTCTTATGTATATCAGTAAATTCCATATTAAGCAAGAATTAATAAATATTTTAAGGTGACAATATACACTTAGCAAGTATTCTATGAACAGGTTATACCACTCTGGTTTGGAACATGAGAACTATAAAAGTTTGAAAAAATCATCTGTATATGACTTCTGCAGATTTGATACCTGCATTCAAGAGTAAAACAAGTCACATCAATTACCACTTGTATTCTATTTTAAAATATATCTTGAAAATAAATTACTGTAATCAATGCCTTAAGTGAACAGGTGACCACCCATGTAACAAGATCAACTAAAATAAATAAATTACAATAAAAATTGTTGCTAGCACAAAATCATCATACAAAAACAATTATTGCATTTAGCTCTGCACAGAAGAAAATACCTTTTCTCAGCAATGTGAACTGCTATAGATGCTACATCTAAACTACCATCCTCTTTTTAGCTGAAAACTGTAAACAGCTTGTTTTGTGCTAGAGCTACAAAAGTATTATGATGCATTCATTTAAAAAATATTCAGAGTAAGTTTATTTCCAACTAATACTAATTTCTAAGAAACATCGAATCTTCACCTAAAATTTAGCTGGTCAACTTGTAATTTCCCTTTTATTTTGAATTTGAAAAACCAGTTAACTCTTTACAGATAGCACTTATCATTAAAAAAATGGAATTGAGGAAGTTTGGGGTGGCTAAAGCAGTCCGAGAATTAAAATAAAGAGGTTAAATAGCACCCCACCCCCGCTCTTTTTCTCATCAAAGCTCAGGAATTTTCCAGGCCCACTGAAGTGGTGCACCAAAAGTTGTTGTCACTGTCTCTAGACCTGTAAACACCAGCTAGAAATAACTTAGTCCTTTCGTACTCTTCTTTTGCGCACTGATTTCAGTGGACGATCTCCCATTCCTTCATCTGCTTCTTTCCTCTGGAAAAAAAAATAAAAATTCAGCATTAACATTTTAAACCTATTTTCATTATTGAAACTGCCATGCTACGTTATTCCTCTTCCTGAATTTCCCAGACATTTTATCACTAAATGCAGCACTTAAGTGATAGGACATTTTTTTCCACACTACTAATCCAATGATTAATAAAGTGGGTAGAAGACCTTTCCTTTCTCTATTCAGAAGGAAGAGAATAGTATGTCTAAACTGATCTCAGAAATTTGTTTTTGCCCATGTCTTTGCTGGTTTAAAAGTACTGACTTTTGAATTAATTTATTAACTTCCTTAAAGTGCACCTTTCACTATTTTATTTCCACTTCTGAAGTAAGACACATTTAAAACATTTTAAGTGTTTACTTTGGAGAGCTACAAATAGAGCAAACTGCCCTTAAATCAGATGTAGTGTTCCCAGTTTAAAAGCAATGGGCTAATGGAGGCACAGGAAAAGCCTTTCCAATGTGAAATCCATTCTCAGGCCATGCATTGCTTCCTCACTTTCCTGCATCACCTAATGGCAGGCACTTCTTTAGAAGGAATAGCTGATAGAATGTGGCCCAGCCTGAGTGAGGACATAGGGTACATGATGTGTTCCAGACAGCTCACAACAGGAACACCTACATGCTGAAAACATTCACAGAAAAGTAAGCTGTGGCCTCACTGTGACACTGTAGTGCCACAGACACTTCGGAGCTTTTATTTTCAGGCAGTCATGTGACTCTAAGCAGAGTTCAGTAGATACTTTATTCCTGGGTAAATGTACAAGGAAAAGAAAATTTCTTACAGGAACAAGAGAAAATACAGAATAAGGGGTAATTAAAAAAGACCTTTAGTGATGAAACAATGAAACCTCATGCAAGGTACAGTTTCCTAGAAGAGTTTCACATGAAAATGAGTTAACAACATTAAACAAGTGCCTTAACCTGGAAAGTGACTCATTTAGGGAGTGACAAGCACAAGATGATCAATGGGTTGATCTAAAGCGTTTCAGACACTGCCAGTTTCTAAATGAAAGAATAATGAGTAGTTGACAAACAAGAAAAGCACAAATTCTATTCTAAAATGGTATTTTATGAAAATAATTTTGTAGAGTATCTGGCTGACTGGATTAATCTGCAAAAGAAAAATGAAACTGCAGATGCTGTATTCAAAAACAGTACTGTTATTTTGCTTAAAACCTTATTTTGGAATAAAAAAACCCCAGAATATAACTGTAAAACTTAAGGTTTTTCTAGGTCTCGGGAAAAGGCTATTCAGTTGGAAGCACATGTTCGATCAGTTAAGAAGCACAATGAAAACTGACCAAAATCTGCTGCAGTATCTGAATTTTCAAGACTTGCAATTCATTTAATAATCTGTTACAAACTACACTCCTGTAAAAACATTTCATGTGTAGGGTGTAGGAGAAGGGTTTACAGGCAACTTTGCCCCTGATGAGTTACAGCTGTGTTAATTACCAAAAAGAGCCTAGGTTCCTAATAGGACACAGGTATATCCAATAAGGATGAGTGTGATGAAAGGGTGGGTTGGTACTCAGGGGAATATTCTGAGGAACAGAAGGAACTGAGGTAATGAGTAACGATCCAGAGGAGGACTAAGAGGAGAGAAAGGATGGACCAAACAGGGACTGACCAAATAGGAGAGAGAATTGCAGCTGTGAGGTCAGTCTGAGGCTGCAGTAGGAGCCTGTAGACAGAGTCTAAAAAGGAAGCTTACAGCAGGAGCCTTTTGTAGTCAGAGGCAGTGAGGAGCTGGAGTCTGTAAGCCAAATTATAAGGAACAATAAACTGGGACCCTTTCCACATTGTTCAACAAGGGTGTATGTTTTACCTCAATTCTATCTCTAATGTAAGCCCTGCTGCAACAGTAGGGAGCTGCCCAAACACTTCTGTACTATAACCTGTAATTATGGATTTGAGGTGTCAAACTCAAAAGAAAGAATATTTCTGCCTTGGGATTTGTTTTATGGCTCAGTGGTAGAAAAACACTTGAAGGTAACTGGGCTTAGTTAGAGGCATGATGTCAGGCAATAGCTATGAGAAAGTAGGGAAAAATGCAAACATACCTCATCTTCTGAATCAGATTTATTTGATCTATCATCACCTTCTTGACTTTCATCTGGAACTTCATTTTCTTCATCATCATCATAAATATCTTCACCACCTTCATCTTCTGCAGAAGTAGTTAATTTTACTTTGTAAACAGAACGGTATAACAAATACATTATATCCAGACATACTAATAAGGAACATAAGCCAATCTCAGTCCTAAAATGAAAAGCTTGTTTGGAATATACCATAAAAACATTTCTGAGATACAGAAAGTAGAATTCTCATGGATTAGTAGAAAGTGATAACTGCCAGATTTAAAAATCTACTTTAATAGCTCCAACTTTGCCTCTTGTCATAATAGCCCATACTGCCTTCAGACTTGTTACTGACTAAATGGACTTGATTTATTTTACTTTAAAGGTAGCTATTGTACTGGACAATTTTGAGAGCAGAGTCCAAAACAGGACAACACAGGCATCCGAAATCTGACTAAATTCTGATTTAGATGGGGAAGTACAGTATTGCAGTTATCAGTCATCCAGCATGGGAGACACCTACATCCTAAGGGTAGTCCCCTTTTCAGCAGGGAATTCTTCTGATATACTATTTTGATTGAGAGATAAGCAGATCTTTACTCCCCCCTTCTTGTGCATTTTTGCAATGCAGAAACTAGTCAGAAAAGCACTGTACTCCCCTTAGCTCACTCAAAGTAAATCCAGCTTGCACTACTACTGCACTACCATTTACAATAATTTCTATCAAGAGAAACCAAGATATCTTAAATCTGACAGAAAGGATATTCATTGGCATTTTGCAACTTAATAGTCTGCCAGTGGCTTGTTTAAAAACAGCAGTAAAGTAGTTCTCAATTCTGTCCTTGTCAGGTCATACCTACATCTCATAAGCACCACTTAGGTGTGAAAAAAAAGGGGAAAAATACCAAGAACAAATACCAAAAATACAGATTTTTGTATTACACCAGAATTTGGATTTTTGGTATTTGGTTTTGGTTTTTTCTACACCAAATTCTTACTGTTGCATCTCAGTTAAACTGAAACAAAAGTATCCATAAAAATTTAGAATGCAATCACATAACAGACAAGACTCTGCTGATTCTTGGCGATGAAAATCTAGAAATACCTAATTTGTTAAAATATTTGAGACTTCTGTAGTAGTACCAAGAACTCTGGCTGCAATATAGCTATAAATTGAGCCAAACAGAGCTTCACTAACTCTTATGAAGTAAGAAGTTAATTTTGCCATCTGTCAATATACCTGGTTCATGTCTACTATGGCTCTATTTCTATTATCAAAATGAGAAATATGACCAAGTAACAAAGATCATGGTTTAAGAAAGATGTAGAAAAATATCTCTGTCCTAAAACTAAGGCCTTAATAAAAGAGCTTGACAGAAATTCACAAAACCTTTGCTCATATTCTAATAAAGAGATTGGAAATGATAAATTAGGCAAATTCGTCTCCTCCCATAAGTACAAATTTCAGTAGAGGGGGAAAAAACCCCAAAGAAAAAATACTTCAGACATCAGAAGTTGTAGAACCCAGAACTATACTATTTAAATTTTAAAATTTATCAAATAGTAATTGAAGCATTATTTCATATAAATAATTGTAGAACTTGACAAATAAAACCTGTGCCCCTGAAATTCCATTTTGTGGCAACATTCTTTTACTTCCTGCAATGTCTTTTTAAAGGTCAAGGAAAGCAAGGAGACAAAGCATACAAATAGATAAAGCCAAAAAATTAACATAGAACAAAATAAAACAGTAAATCCCATGGACAATGCCCTTCCAGAAGTACTCTGCCAGCAACTCATTGTCACTGATGTTAAAGAAATCACCAAGTGTTTCTAAAATTTGGTGCTGTGCCACACTTCCTTTTTCAAATGATCCATACAATGTGGATCTAAAGTCACTCAGTATTCCACAGCTCAAAATTCCATTGCCTTCAACTCCAAAAAAACCAAAGGAGGAGGTAATGACTATGAAGGAAACATAAAAATCATAAGGAGACAAAGATACTAGTAGAAAATATTTATGACTACAGATACCATAGGGAGAAATCTCAGGGGAAACTTGCATGTGCACCTGATGGAAACTGGCATAAACCAGCCTGAAGTTCTACCATCAACAAGGATGCAGAGGGAAGAAAACAGATAGGAGAGACCCACTTGCAAGCCCTGGCCCAAACTGCTTCCTTTTCCTACTACCTGAAACAGGAGCCTCTCTTCGCATCTTCTTTGTATCCTTTATAAGCTCTCTTTTTGTTTCCATTTCTCTTCTCTCTGTAGCAAAAAGAATCAGGAAAAAAAGGCAGAAGACAAATTCTCTAATGCTTTCAGATACAGAGGCAAAAGAGCAATAGAAAAAAGGGGAAGGGGAAGATTTCAACCCGCAAGCGTAAAAGGTGGCAGGAAGCTAAGCAATTCTTCTTAAAGCAAGAAACCATTACACAAGCAAAGTGTAATCTTTCTCTCTGAAGCCTAGAATTTATCCGAAAACACTGGAATAGTCATACAAAAGCTAGCTAGGTTAGTTTTACTCTTTTTTTTTTTCTTTCTCCTTACTTTTAGTAACTAAAAGTAAAGGTCTAAAATAAAACCTACCTTTGCAACACAATGAACAGCTGTTCCAATTAACAATTTAAGAAAGCTGTAGGAGCTGAACAATGTTCCTCTGCAATTGCCTGGGCATTATTTCTAATGTAGAAACACATATTTTAACATATTTATTAATACTGAGTGTTATTTATACATTTTAATGTATTATTTATTAATACTGAGTTGGGGTTGGGAGAAATTACCCTCCACTATGATGAAAACAACATGCTCAACTGGGAGAATTTTTGTATTAAATGTTAGAATGGGGATTCGTTAGAGGCTTGCAAGTTTCTGTGAGGGAAAAAAAAAATATCTTAATACCATGGAGGGGATCTTGAGTCACCTTCAGAAGTAAAAGAGAAGATTTTTCCCAGGGAGAAAAAGGATCCCATCTGGAATTTATTACAGTACACAAAGCCAATAAAGTTGCTTAAAAAAAGACAAGCAGGAGTCAAACAACTTGAGAAGGCTGACCTAGAACAGATGCTAGACAGAGTTAAGAATAAAGTAGGTATTTATTAAAAGGCCTTAAAGGATACACCTATAAGTACAGTACAAGAGCCTGGCTAGAGCTACACCCAGGATGGACCCAAAATGGTCACAAAAGGGACAACTGGTCACAAGGTCTCACATTTTTATAAGTTTTGGTCCATCTGCATATCAGGGTTAAATGTCCAATTACAATTTCAGATTATGAAGTCATATCCTTCTTGTTCTCTTCAGTCCATCATTGTTTATGGTTTTGTGCCTGAAACTTGTAACAATTGTCCTTGGTATCAAGCTATGAAAGGAATTGTTTTCTCCACTCACTCTCTGAAGAGAGCTCACTAATGCTTAATATGAAGCTCAAAACTACACACCTAGGCAGCACAGAATCTGAAAAATATGAAAGCTAAAATTTAAGGCATCAATGTGTTGAAATTAAATTAACTGACTGACTTAACAGAAGAATATTGGAACTGAAGAATGGCAGCCTTGCAGCAGCAGCATATTAAGTACAAACTATGATCTGCATCAAGACTGCGTAGAATGAAACAGAGTCTGTAATTCAGGAGCAAAGAACAGGTTGAGTAGAGTAAGATCAAAAGGAAAATGTAGGAAGATACAATACTGAAATTATGTACCCACAATTTAAGCTAAAGTAAAGAATGTATATAGCATAACCAGAATAATTAAGTGCCTTGGTAAGGCGCTCGAATAGCAAGGCAGATGGACTAAGTTTGGTGTGGCAAGCATATGCCAAATATGCTCAATTCTGTCAGTACTGGCATGCAGACTGCTGATACTGAGTAAATTTTTAAGTCATACAGACAGAAGCCATCAACACTCATGGAACATGGTGCAAAGACAGACAAAACTCACCAAGTTTCAGTCAGTAATAAAAAGTGATGTCAGTACCAAGACAAAAACCCCAACAAAACATGAATGTCTGCTATGTCTCTAATTATGCATGCCAGTCCCTTGTCACTTTCTTTGCTTTCACCAAGGAAGAGTGAAATAAGAGGCAGAATCTTGCAGAGCTCTGAAGCTAAAAACTTTCTCAAAGTCAGGATAATGCATTGTAAGTTAGGTGCTTTGGTTTTTATTCATTATATAGACACGGAAATGCTAACAGCACCTCAAAGCTATAGCTGAGTAGTACCCAGTAATCTTCAATACCGTAACATGGGATGATTTTATCTTTGGATGCTGAAGTACAGTTCAACCTACTGAGTTCATTAATTTCTCCCTTGGGCAGTAGGACACACCTCTGCAGATGTGCAATAGGTTGCTAGAAAGCAGCATGAAAGAAGCTGCAGACTTCAGTATGTCAAGCCTACTGTATTTTCAAGCTTTAACAAGAATAACTCAAATCAGCGACCAACAGAACAGTATAACCCTCCCACAGAGGTATAAGCGGATTTCTGTTAGAGACTTAAAGCTATTCCATTTATTGTATTTAATTATTTCATTAGTTTATTAAATTTCATTCAATTTATTTTATTTTAAAATTTAATTTTAAAGAATAAAGTGACCATAACTGCTTCAGGTACTTCTCTGAATAATTAAGATGTATTTAATATATGAAATATATAAGGGATAACATATGTATCACTGTCTATGAATATAAAAATAGTGTTGGAAGCATGTTCACTTCTTGAAAGTAAAAAGATGCTGGGCATACTTCTGCTTATATTTATCAGGGTTATTAGCCATGGGATGCCACTCACTGAAAGTTATCAAGAGGAAAAAAGGCTCAGAGCAAGGCACATCTCACACAGTCTAAGATAACAGGCTGCAATTATTGGCAATGCAATCTATGAACTAGTTCTATTCATGTCTTTAACCAAACTGCAAGCTGACACACTCATCTTACCATCTTCACCAGTATCTTCATTTTCTTTTTCCTCTTCTAGTTCATTATCTTCCAACTCTTCTGTCTCTTCCTTTTGTTCTCCCTTTGTAATTTGCTTAGATACATCAGGTTTTTTGAAGTTAATATATTCATCTGATTTCTACAACAAATTAAAAATCTATTTATTTTTCAACTCTAAGAATTAAACAGGCACTGTAAGCTAAGTAATACCAGTGACATATTAAAAGGGCATATTGTTGCACAGATGCTTAGGAGTTTCCAAATTAAGTATTAAGAATAAAACCAAATAAAAATATAATAAATTTCACTAACCTTTCCTGGCCAGCAGAACAACACACTTAGACCAATAGGGAGAGCTAAAGTCAAGATATAAAGAACCCAGAGCCATGGGTGTTCTTCTGCAGCAGTCACCAATTGACTAAACATACCAGGCTGTATTTAAAAAAAAAAAACAAAAAAAAAATTTATATCCCTCTTAACATTCAAATAAGTTTATGAAGTATACTGTATACATTTTTATTGTCCAAAACCCTTCCTTACCTTTGCTTTTTAATGACTAAAACAATATTGCATTTCAATACTAGTAAAGCAACAAATCTACAAATTGCAAATAAATGTTCAGTAAGAAGGAATAGATGTACAACTCCAAACATACCAGACTGGCCACAACTCAACTTTGTAAAGTAACATTTGGAGACTTAGCAACCTCACACTTTACACCCTTCCCACTACTCTATTTTTGCTGCACACTGTGCCAACTCAGCTGAAAGCTTCCAAAGCATCAAAAGCCTGAGGGCAGCAGTTTCTGAGGAGCAATGTTGGCTCCACCTGTACTACCACCTTTTCTCCTTTGACAGCAAATTAATTATTCAGGGAGTAAACTGTCCTCCCAGCACTGCTCTGACTTATGCAGTAGAGACACTTAGGCAAGCGTCTGGTGCATCTCTGTAAGAGGAACATCAGGAACTAAGGAAGTTTGAGAAGCACAGTGGAACAAGGGGACTCAGAGGAATTTTGCTATTGTGTATACAGGTATGGATATAGGTTCAGACATTAACCCAAACATTTTGGAAAAGGGCAAGGTTGTGTGAAGAGACAGCTTTCCTGCTTGCATGGACAGATATGCTGTTGCTACTTGCTCACTCTGTGACAAACAGCAGCTGTAAGGAATTGGCCACATTTGCCACCAACCCATCATTTCTCCTGCACAACTGTAGCCTGCTGTTGCCATTTAATCAAATAGAATAGAGGACTGTTATACAGAAACAGAAGTGCAGGCAGCCACTAGAGGGTCCTGTGATCCCGTATGGCAAGGCAGATCCATCCCACAGCATAGGGAAGAGGGAGGAAGGCTGTCAAAGTGCAGTACACAAACAAAATGTGGATACAAACAGAACAGAGGCAGCTCTATAAACACATGCAATATTTTCAGAACTGCATAACACACACCTAAGCAGCCAAAGGCCTAAAATTATTAAACCGAAACAAACACTAGACTATTCATTCCTCATGGGATGGAAGCATCTAAAGAATATGTATCATGGATATAGCCACAAGGGAAAATAGGGGGTGAGGGGTGGGAGGGGAAGTCTTTGAGTGTAAGTAACTCAGCCTTCATTCTTTCACTTGCTGTCAGATACTGAATTTCTAATATCAATTTGAACAGCAGAAGGCTTGACAGGAAGTCCATTTTTCACTAGATGTTTAAGTAAAATGCAGTACTCTTTTAACCTCAAGAAAATATTCATCTGGGAAAGGTAAAAAAAACAAACTACAAGACAGAGACCCTATCAGTTACTCAGAAAAATTATTAATTGCAGACAAATTAATACTCTGTCAGCACTGTCAGAAAATTCTTCCAAATACCACAGCTTCCTCACTACTTTCTACTATCAAGAACATAGTAAAGTTTATACCTCATTAGCACTTGCTACTAATTTCTTCAAACCCCAGCTATCTGCTGCCCAGCGATCTGCTACTTCTTTTTCTGAACATATGATGAAATTATCAAAGTAGATATCAGATGTCATAGACCACAGCTCTAAACCAATAGCACTGACAGTGGTCATCTTGAATGGATGAAGATCTTCAAAATAGTCAGGATTTGGTATTTTCCGAGGGCTCCAGATTCCCTGTTAATGGAAACAAATTTAATCACATTACCTATAGCTCACCAGAAGAAAAACTTGTGAAAGAGATTTCAAAATAGTAAGACCTTTTATTAAAAAAAACCCAAAAACAAACAGTAGAGTTTAAACTGTCTAAAACAGAACTGGAAATAGCCTGTAGCATTTTGGCAGATGGGTCTCAATTTTATGGCTTAGGGCAGACCTCCCAAGTAATTTTTTTCTTTTTTACTGTAGAGGTTGCAGTAATAACTGACTTTTACCAGAGGTGTTAAAGAAAATTTTAGGGAAGGAAAATTCAGCCTTATGATACCTGTGCAAATTAGAGCCAGATTTTGTTTGCAAACCTGCTTAGGACTTACCCTCAGAGATATCAGATTCAAATACTCCCCAGCCTAATAACAATAACTAATACAAAGTAACTCTCTTTAATATCCAGCTGATTATACCTCTTATATTTGGAGGGGAAGAAGGGAATTTAATTATCCCAAATTGATGCTTCCTCTAAAATTGAACTAGTAAGGCAATCTGCTTACTGAAAGGCCTCATTTGTTAATATTAAAAAATAAACTAATTCAAAAGACTCACATTTGAAGTCGTCATGTAATTCAGAATACAATTTTCTGAAGACCATACTAAATAAATGGTACCAATGGAAATTGTACAAAAGGCAACTTTAAACAGGCAAGTTGTTTTAATACAGGATACATTATTGTTTCCCAGCATACTTCAAGGGAAAAAAAAAGGAAATTAAAAGCAAAAAAAAATCTCAAATTAGTGAGGGTATTCAGACTCATTCTAAAATATAAATATACTGCAAAAAAGCCTAAGTAAATACTACTTTTGACTTACTTGCTCTGCTGAACTCTGTATCTTTTAGCAATGATCAACATTTGGCTATTACCTGATAGTTAGGATTATCTATCATAGGTGCTCTCCATTTTCCTTTATACTTTGGGTTATTCTTCATGGGATGCACCCACTCTCCACAACCAGGTGCAGTCTCACATTTTGGATTAGGGATCTGAGGGGCTTCCCACTCCCCATCCATTTCTTCATCCCTAGAGAGGAAAAAAAAAAATTATGAACAACTGCTTTAAGATCATCCACCTGTCAAACACTGTCAGTCTGAAGTTAGGGTCCATGTATATTGCTGTAACAACCTCAAAACTCTGACCACCTCACAGAACTTTACCCAACAGTATAAACACTTTTTTAAGGAGTGCTACACCTCCTTATTTAAAGGTCACATGTTCATAACTACCACAGCATGACTGACTTCAATTACTTTTCTGCCTCCACAGACAGCTTGAAAGACTTCTAACCAGGATGCTTAGAGATCCCTTTGAGACTTATATTATGATTTCAAGTTATCAACTTAAACTGTATCAAATTCTTTCGAAGAGGACCTTCATATTCTGGTTTTACTTATATATCTTCAGAAAACAAAAAGCAAGAAGTTTGTGGTGGCTACCAGCTGGCCTGGAGGCCTCGCAGTCTAAGGTAACCCTAATTAGTACTTGACCAGTCTAGGCCATTAGGGAAAAGAGGTAAACATCCCTAATAGAAAGGCAGTGTAAACCTGGGAGATTTAAATTCAAACAACACCAGTCAATTCCTGGCAAGCATGGATGCAGACAGCTGGGTGGTAACCAAATTGAGCTAATCAGGACTAATCATGCAGGTTTTCAAAAACCATATAAAAAGGAACTGCCCTCAATAAATATTTGTTGTTGCCACAGCCTCATGAACTATGCAATGCCATGTCATGTCTGTCTCAAATGTGATATGAGTTCATGTTTTTATTAGAAGCAGTCCCCCACACCAAAAAATATTTGGCCATACCTTACACATTCCAGCCTACTACCTCAAAAGACAATGAGATTTGGACTGACTTCCATAACTAATAATCTGCCACAGAGAACAGTCTTGTCTACAAAACACATTAACAACCTGCACTTACCAGTCCTTTGGTTTATTTGCATTAGGGTCTGGAACATACTGTGGTTCATCATCAAGCCACCCCTCAGGCTTAACAGCATCAGGATCTTCTATTTTGGCAGGTTCATCTTCATCCCTTCAATTACAGACTTACGTTAGAAAATACAGCAGCCTGAATTTGGACCAATGTTCTGTTCAGAGAACTACAACTGGCATGAAAGGGATTATTTTCAAAAACATGACAGAATTAGACTCACTGATCATGAGCATTAGACATATAATTAATTACCTGCTTATAAATATCTGGATTATATTTACTTTTTTTTTATTTAATCCATAAATCACTGGTAGTAAATGGCAGGTGTCAGTCAGGTCTTCCCACTGAAATTTTCCCAACTTTTCCTGAGTTGCCATAAGAACAGTAGTTCACACAAAAGTAGAAATTCATTGTAGATTAAGACTACATGGTAGAAAAAACTTATTCATGTGCAGCAACCTTAGTTACTACTTGCAACCATGCAGGGTACAAAATCAGCAAATAATGATTTTGTCTCCTTAGAACGTGACCAGATCCTTACACCCACCTCCATTATGTTTTCCAACTTCAGTGCTTTTAGTGAAATGTATTCCTATTGTCACTAGCAAAACCCCAAAATAAAACCAGTCAAATCTTTCAAAAAGAAATAACCTGTATGTAAAAGACATTGTAAAAATTAAAATATTCCCCTTACCAGTCATCTGGTTTGACAGCATTTGGATCAGGTATTTTTGGTCTCTCATCCCAATCATCAGGCTTCTTATCAGTAGGATCCTCTATTTCTTTGGAAGGATTTACTGGAGGAATCATATTCTCAAGAAGACTTCCTTTACTGACAACTATTTGGTCGATTAATATTTCAAATGTATCATCTGGTTTTAGCACTAAATTGAAGAAATTTATATTGGAGAAATAAGGGAGCCATTTAATTTTACAGATATATTTAACAAAAACTCTAAGTACAGACTAAATCAAGTAACAGCAAACAGGATCCTCACTAGCAGAGGAGACAGACTCCTCAATCAGGCACTAGATCTGGACACAAAAACACTGCCCTTGAGGGGATGTATGACCAGCATCAGGCCCCCAAAGATGAAACTTGAAGAAAATTCAATTGCTGAAATACATCCAACACATTCTAAGAGATTTTTCAAAATCTCAACTTGGCCAAAATTCTGTGTTTTTACTTCAAAAGTACAAACAGTGAAAAAAAACAATCTCTCTATCCCAAAAGGCATCTCTGCTACTAAATTACAATCTCACACTTGAAAGCATGGGAACAAGAACTGTACCAGTAACACAGCAGAAGGATCAAAGCAGTATTTTCTATCAGGTTCTAACCTCTAATAGCCATTTCCCTCCAATGCCACATTGCAAATGCTTAAACATTTGAAGAGAATTTCCTGGAAGTTAGCAAGTAACTGAGAAGCCAAGGTCACAGAACTGAGCAGTGTCAGATTCAGTATCCAGATGTATCCAGATTTATTTCTAATAAGCACTTATAATAAATGTGCTCACTGGTTAAATAGCAGATTCAACTGTCCATCTTATGTAAGGAAGATTTACTTAGTAAAAGTTACTACCATTCCACTTGTATGACTGTTTTCTAAAGACAGGTTAAGAAAACCAGAGTAACAGTCTTGTAACAGTTTGATAATATCTAATAATGGCCTTCCACAGCCTGAAATTTTTCAACAGTACTAAAATATCTATAAATGCAAAAATGAAACCCCCGTATCATCTTTAGGTAAAATACAAAGAACTAATTTTTAAATTCCTGTTATCAGTCACATAGATGCATTGGAATCAAATTGCTCTATGGAGTCTGTTTGAACAATTGTAACAGAATAAATGCAATCCAAGTTTAAGTACCTTGATTCATAATTTCTAATAAACAATCCAAATACAGGAATGCATGCATTCCTTTATTATGACATTCCTATTATCTAAAAATAGAAGTTTGCTGTGGCATACTACAGAAATCTGTTTTAGAAACCACTAAATTTACCAATGGCGCAGCACTTTAACATGCCTTCTGTTATTCAGCGGAAGTTCAAAGGTACAGTCAGTTTGGCTGAATTTGTAGCATGCCACAGATTAGCCCATTCTCTGACTGCTATTCTTCCTCAGAAGTTAGAAAAAGGGGGTAAAAATCAACTTAACTTTCATTTCTCTGTACAGTTCACTGGTACAGGAAAAGTTGTCACATGAATTAAAACCAGCCCGTACTCATTTACTTCAGAATCTGTGCTAACCTATCTGTTCATGCACACTGCTTCAGATGCAGGTGTTGGTGGAAACTCCTAACACGTGGAGAAGTGGTGTGTGGCATGCTACAGATTTAACTGCATTCCTCTGAACTCTGACACCTTCCTAGAATATTGGGCAGTTGTACATTTTAATATCCTTTCCCAGTAAATATAGTTTTATTACAGTAATTACTGAAGGCATTTATTAGTAAAAGCTAGTAAGGGTGATATGTTTTTTCCTGTAATTGAATATTAAGCAGTAGCATCTGAAAGCTACTTTTATGTCCTTTAGTTAAACCCAGTCATCAAACCATTTAACCCAAATCATTAAGCAACCACCCTCAGAATTAACAGGCTATTACAAACAAAGACTCGATTACAAAGCTTCAGCAGACAAAACCACATTTTTAATCTCTCCTTTCCAATTTAAGAATTGGAATTCCACTTTTAAGAACTAAACAATACCAAGAGTATATAGATGTGTCTTCTTGTCCAAATAGTATTTTTTTAGGTCTACATCAGGACGTTCAGCATGTTTTTCATCATACTCTCCAGTTTTAGGATTCTTATGTCTGAAGATAAAATGTAGTTTGTAATCTTCTCCACATTTATCTGGTCCAAACATAATAGTGTAGGGTGTTTTGTCAAAAAAGTATTCCTGTAAAAGCAAGAAAGCTGAGAACGTGTTATACTGGACATTTTATTACATCTCTTTTGGTACTTCTTTTTCTTGGCAGAGAGCATAGTTACCTATTTCTAACAGGTAAATGAAAAGTGGTAGGGTAAATCATGAAAGGAACTCAACAGTCCTCTGGAGTCGATTGCTGCTCTCTGTTCTCAAGGAATGGACTAACTCTCAGTCTCTTCAAGGCAGATGGATACATTTATACCTTTAGATTTTATCCTTATGTTCAGTAGGAATGTCTGTCACAAATCAAAACCCAAATATCTCTCTCCCTCTACAAACGTTACACTAAAAGATGGAAGAGAATTAGTTACTGTTCTTCTTTACAGTTTTATTTTCCAATAAAGATAAACCCCAGGAAACTAATATCCTGTATTTTATCAGTACGTTTTTCTCTCTGCATTAAGTAACAGCAACAAACAACCCTGAAAATATAAGATATAATTATTCTCCTTCAAAGTATGTTGCTTTACGCAGTTATGTCAGTATCTTTTAGCTATTTATGTTTTTTGTGTTTGGAATACACAATAACACACATGTGCTCTTCAAGAAAAAAATTGTTTTACAAGAGTTAAGATCCTGTGGCTTCTACTAATACAGGAAGTCATACTAAGCATACGCAAAAGTCCTCCATCCTGGATATCAGACACCACCCATGGAGAACCAAGCTGTTACCCAAATGAACAGTTGATAGCAAATATTAAGCAAGAGGACATACCAGATTCAAGTCATTGCTACTGGAGAGAAGTTTAATATATGCACCACCACAGTCAATGCCTTTTTGAAAATTCACTTCATATCTGGGCAAAGAGAAAGTGACAAAAACATTTTGCGTATCAGAAAAATAAAAATTAACTTCTAATCTGCCATTCTAATTATGAATATATTGATTATATGTGTATTAGTACCTACTGTCATAACACTTCTATGTAAGCAAAATGTTTTAACTTACTAATAAGCATCAAATAAAAAATCTGAAGGATTACTTACTGAACAATCAAAGGTTTGTCATCAAAAACAAATGCTTTCGTTAGCATTGCTGATATTGCATGATACTTTGCCACTGATTTTAACACTAATCCTCTGTCTCCGGGCATTGCGTTTTCTTTCAGCTCTTCTACTTCCCATCTTCCTAAAACAAGCACACACAAAGTCTTTGAAAAAATGCAGTCTGATGTAAAGAAATCACAGCCTTGTTGAAAGCAAAGAGTTAGCAACAAATAAATACTAGTTGCCAAAGCAGAGAAGAAATGTTGGCATCTTATGTCAAAGATGTTATTCCTTGTTCTCAAATTTACAAAAATCGGTAAATAAACTTTAATACTGTAGATCTGTATTTTTACGCTGTGGTATCCTACGATGGCTAGATGAACAAAATATTTCTCTAGATTTTACATTTATTTCTACCATCATCACATAAAAACATTAATCACAAAGCACTGTGTAAAGCATCATTACTTTTTTCTGCTTACATAGAATTAGAACCTCTTGAGTCAAATCTAATCACAGGCTAGATGAAGTTCCCTCCTCCTCCCCAAAGTCTTTCCATAAATTATGGTCCAAAACACAGTCTACAGCTTTGAAAGTAGACTGTATATGTATACATTCTCCAAGTTTGGGAAAAATACAGTTGAATACACATGTGCCCAATATCCAAAGAATAAGAATTCTTCTAAAAGGGCAGTTATATTTTCTCAGAGATTAACAGGACAAGATTCACTGGGTTTTCTTCCAGGAAAGAACACAGCACCAAAGCCCCTACTTCTACAATCCACTGTAATCTTGAAGAATGCCTGTGTCAATGTAAAAAGGAAGAAAACATCAGGAGTTCCTCAGCATGTAATTTAGAGAAGATTCATAAATTGTGATATGCAAACTTCATTCATAAATGTGATACGAAATTGATTTACTTTTATTCAGCTGACATGTGATTAGTCAAAGTTGTTAAGGAAGAGCACATATCCAAGTCATTAACAAATTCCTAGTTTCTTCTAGCCTAATAGACAGGAAGGAGGAAAATTCCATCCACTTCAATAGTGTTCCTTCCTGGAAACTAACGCCAAACAATAATGCAAGGCAAAACAAGAAGACTGAAAAAAAGAAATGGAAAGTAGTTAAAAAAAATGTGTCTGTATCATAGACTTTATTAAATGCTGAATTTTCTGACTTGAAGCAAATATGACTGTTCAGACATTAAAGACAATTTTTTATCTCATATGAAGCCAAGTAATCAGAGATACCTGATTTCTCATAAGCATCTCATCTATGTGGCTATCTCCTCTGTAACTTCTTAATTTTACCAATTACCTTTGGTAACCACTAAATTTAGAATCCTCAGTTCTACTCTGTTCTGCACACTGAAGTTCTTCAAGTTATGCTCCCTTACCACTTTCTATTAACATTAATTGATTTCATTTGACATAAGAACAGTAGCAAATACTTCTCTGTTGCAGTAGGAACTTTTTCTCTTCTCCCCACTCCCTCTTGAATGAAATAAACTCAGGCTGCAAAATTATTGCTGCAGATCTGCCAAAATTTTAAGCAGCCAATTCTAGACTAGGAAATCACAAGTGCAAACTGCAATGATTAAACCATCAGTACAATGTTTTCATTATTGCTTTCCAAATTTGTTTTGGCTACTCTAAACTGTTCAAGAACCATTGAAAAGCCCTACATCAAGTACAGACAATCTGAGAAAGTATTTTTAAAAAAAACATCATGCAGTTTTAACTTTCTTGCTTCAGAGACTATACCGAGAGACCAATCCATGAATCAGTAGCAGGACAGATGGAGCAAAATGGAACAGTGCTCTAGAAAACAGTTTAACAACTGAAATTGAAGTGGTAAATCTCTCTCATATGATTTCAGAGAAGACAGTTCTAAAGAAACAATACTCATAAACAAACAGTATTAAATATTCAGATGCCAAAGGGTATCCATGGCAATACATTGTTGGAACGACAAAAAGTTATCTCCACGCTAAGCAACCCAGTGAGCAACATTTCAAATCTCAGTTTCAGGATAACAGTCATTATACAAATTAACATTCTTGACCTATGCCATCTAGATATTCAAAGGTAAGTTCTGTGTTATTTCTCAAAAAGCAACAGAACATCACAAACTACACAGTGGAGGTAAACATTAAAACTGCTTACCATCATATTTAGCAACATTATCATCCATGTCTTCTTTCAGAGTTACAGACAACACCCACCTAAAACAAAAATTGTACTGGTCATTGGTCTATTTATGCAAAGCTGTATTATTTAACAAATAAAGGAAAACCAGCTCTTGCTTCTAGGCTGTGAACTTGTAATACTGATTTTGAGTCAGCATCATGGAACTCTATGTAGTTCAAAGAACATGCAAAGAAAAATTAAAGAAGAGTAGTCTGATATAGCATTTCAAAGTATTTCCTAAAAATGTATATGAATAGACAATTTCAAGTCTAAAGGAATCAAAATCCTGAATTATTTAATTCTGAATAAACTTCAGTTTTATACATCAGTTCAGTTTGGCAGAATGGAATATGCATATAATATAAAAAATGCACAGAAATTAGCAAGCTTCAAGTATAATACCTTCAATATGATAAGGAAAGAAAAAGAAAACAGCCAAAGGAATCTTAATTTTATCTGACAGTAACAGTACACATGCATAGCAGAGGACACAAGGGAATGGTAAGTGACAAATGCAAGGTTACAAGTGTACTGCACACACAAGATCCAACAGGGCAAACACACTCCTGATTTCCTTGATTGTATGAGCAAGACACACTTGACTACCTCATTAAGGTTATCAAAATATATGCACAGTCTCCACACAAAGTTTCTTTAGGAAAAGAAGAAAAAAGGAAAAAAAAAAAAAAAAGAAAAAAAAAAGGGCAGTCCGCCCTCATCTGGACATACAGTGGTTCCATCAGGAGCCATACACAGGAATATCTTAAGCTAACAGTACTGCTGCTGAACTCTTTATTGTATCAACCACAGTAATACATTCTTATGACTTATTCTGGAAAGAATTATTTTCATTCATTCTAAACTATCCTCTGCATGGAGTGATTCAAGGATGAATACTTTATCTTTGTTGCTTGAATTGTAGTCCATTGTTAACAGAGATGCTGGGAAAGCTTCACAGTATAAACAGCAAACTAGATCCTTCAAAGACAAACTAGTCTTTGAACCCATTTCAAAAAGCTAGAAACTTGGAGGAATTATATCATTCAAGTACCTCCGTTAAATGTTTGCATCTGTTAATCAAGGCTTTCAGTGATTTGTTTGGTTGTTTTTTTAGCAACCATTATCACCTCTTCTATTTAACATTTTTTTTTCTGTCATCACAGTTGCTGCTTTTGCACTTAGCATTTAGAATTTACACATACCTAAGATCATGTGAAAAGAGAGATTGCTACTGAAATGTAATGGCACTTCATCTCTCAGCTAGTTAAACCCAACCAGCAAAAGCTTTATATTATTTTTCTTAATGACCACATATCCAGAGTTTATTAAAAGCTTCCTTAAAACACACACAAAAAATATATTTAATATATTTGAAATGTTAAGTGTCCAGCTTAACATTATGATGTATTTGGAGCAAGTATTGATAGCCTTCCAAATTCTAATCACCATAAAAATAATTTTTTAAGATAGTAGCAGAAAAATGAATACAAAGTGTTGCCACTGTAAGTTAAACTGCTGGAAGTAAAAGTTTATCATTTTAAGGCATAAGCTTACCCAGACAATCCTTCATCGAAGGTTTCTGTAAAATACACTTCCCCAGTTGGCTTTGGAGTCTGGTACACAACCTAAGAGATATGTACAGATACACATCCCAACATAAATTACAATTTTTCATTTGAAATCCACTCTCTTATCTCCAGAAGTAATCCACCCAGGCAGACCAACAGATTTTCTTCATCAGAAATACCTAGCAGCATAAAACCCCTTCTCCCTCACCCACATTTCAATACTTTGTGTGCATCCCTCCAACAATGAGCAATCTCACACCTCTGAATTTTAAAAGTTGCTTCCTCTGTTCAAAGCTCTGTTGTTACATTCTATGTGAAACAAAACCCCAAAATTTCTCTGAACTTGCACCAAATCTACTTCCCCCCTGTTTCTTTCCTTGTATGTTTTCTATTCTTCTGTATTCCCATCTAGTGTCGACATCTATTCTGAAGAACATCATACAGATTTTCTTGTAATAAAGACTGTGCAAAAAGGCATATGTGACTGATGAAGTCAAGAAACTGGTCTAAGGTCAAAGTCTCAGTGAGACCAAGGTGCTTTCCATTTACTTCTTTAGAAGTGGGATGTTACAACTTGCAACAAAAGGTTCTGTATCTAGATTGAAGAAAAACCTTCTTCATGACTATCAACCACAGGCAGGAAATTTTACACTTGGGCATATGGGATTCATTCATTAAGTTTGCCGTGTATGTCACATATAGCAATTGAAAAACTCAGACTGCTATATTTGAGACCCACTCAGCTGTCAAATGCAGATTAACTTGTTCTAGTTATAACTATGCATCTTGTATTTAACTAGATTAAACTAAAGACTTCTGTAATCTTACCTCTATAGAAGATTTATCTCTGTCAACATCAGCTTCTTGGGACTGCTTGTCAAAATTCTCCACTTCAACATCTGCATCCAGATTTTCTTTGTTTCGCATTCCTGCAGTCACTGAGCTAATTATCAGGACACGCAAGCACAGCCAGTCCCACTGGAAGTGCATCTTGGTTATCTGAAGAATTGAAAGTTTTAGCATTTAAGTATCATTTTGAGAACATTATCAATACTGTTTCAATTTTACCCCACTTTCTTTAAAATGAAGGAAAAAAAAACCCACATTAAAATAATGAGAAATAACTATCAGAAAGTGTTGTCACTGTAATATGATCTTAATTTGCTTTTTTAAATTTCTTATTACTGAGCCCTGACTCAGACTCTCTTTTCCCTCCTGTTTTCCCTATGGAAGTGCCTGCAGCCTGTTCCTTTACCTTGTCAAATCGAGCAAGAATCTGACTGAAATGTATATGCATTTTTAAGAACTAAGCAAGACTGCTTTTATTTTTCTCATTTGTAAACAATCTGAACAAGCAATTAAATTGAATCAGTCTCTCCAATGCAGCAGTAAGTAGCATCATTTTCATCAGGAAAAATAAAATCAGAGATTTAGAATGTATTATTATCCACGACCAGAACTGCATTTGTATTTGCCCCTACTTCCAATGACGACATTTAGAGAAGTGCAGAGTGTATACTGGCTCCAGCTATAAGTGCCAAAAGAAAGTATAAGATGGTTTCAGAAAATATTTACTGTTTCAAAATTATTATCCAGTAATTCTTAAGTTAGGTAGAGCAAGAATTTAAGCTTAAATGCAAATACCTTCCTAATTTCAGGTAAACCTGAAAATCTTTAATCTCTATAAGTATGAATGTCAACAGCAGATAACTGGTCTAGCCTCTCAATTTAATCTGCCATGAAAAAGACTGTTGCCCAGTATTTTTTGCTTTACATCTGTAAGAAATACAAATCCAATTTTATGTTAAGAGTATCCAGTGGTTTGAGGAAGTGCAGTGTCAAAAATGCCTATCTAAGTTTCTTCAAAGGTCTTGCAAAAATGCTTTTTTCCAAAATCATTTTTGTCTGAATTTGGAAACAGAATGAAGACAGATTCTTGACACATGTGCTGGTTTGCATTAATTGATTCTTGGTGAGGAGGGAAAGAACTAACCACAGAAGTGATTTTCGAGAGGAGCTGTTAAGAGCTTCCTCCATGCCCAACAAAAACAATCAGTGACTACTTTTGAAGATTGACACTCAGTTAAACCACTTAATTACGCCTCCATGAAACACATTTTCAAGACAGGCAAAGCCAGGAAAATTTCTCTTTGCTTCTGGCCTTGAAGAGGTAACTGGGTGCCGGTTGAGCTGGCCCAGCTCTGCCACTAAACGTGTTGCTGCTGAGTCCTAGCCTGGCTGCTGAGATCCTAGCTTCCTCCCCCACAGCATGGCCCCGAAGAATCTTCCACTGTAAACCACTCCAGCCACCATCCAGCAGAGATTACATGGCCCTCCATAGGCCCTGGGCGAGATACTAACTTGTTTACTGCACAGATGAAACTTGCAAAAATTAACCCTCTCTCAAGTGAAAGAAAAGGACAGAGTGAAGACATGTAGAGAAACAACATGGAAAAACCAAGCTTGGTCAGTAAAGGAGTCAAATCTCAGATGGAAGGAGAATGAGGATATATCTTAGTATTGGGCTGAAATTCTGTTGTGAGGGTATGCTGAAGATATGATTGATACACCAGACTCTTTTCCCTGTAACTCATGGAATACATTTTGGGGGGGGATGTAGTGTCCTAACCACAGCCATGAACAGAGACCCCTACGCTGAAGTAAGCATATATTGAAGTAGCTGTGATCCAAATGAGGAGTTTGAACACAGAGAGGTAAAAGTGATGAAGACCCTTTTGTCCCAGGGAAGAAGATGATCTCTGTTCTTGGAGATGATCTCAGGGATAGAGGAAGAGAACCTGTGCTTTTGAACAGTGCATCCTTAAAATAACATCCCAATAAGTTGACATGTCCTGTGAATGCAGCTGTGGGAAGGCTGCAAAAAGATGGGAGGGACTTCACAATTGCAGATTTCTGGGAAGCTGGTATTAGTGGAAATTAAAAGCCATGAGAGAACTGTTTCCTGTGGAGAAGTCTCCATGGCATGGCAAGAGAGAGACTCCTCTCTCTAAGTGGACTGAAGAAAGATTATTTTAGAGGTGGTAAACTGACTGAAAATACGAGGTTTTGTCTCTACATTGTCATTGGGAAAGGAAAGAGGAGTTTGGGGGAAGAGAAAGTGTTCTGAAAGCTTTATTCTGATTCTCATTATTCTTTCTTTTAGTTCTGCTAATAAACTTTTCTTTTATCCTTAGAAGTTTTGAGCCTGCTTTGTCCTCCTCCTAATACATATTTCACAGCAGAAATAATAGTATTATATAGTAATATAATAATAAATAATATAAAATAATAATAGTAAATAATTCTAGTGGGTGCATGGGCATTTGGTCAGCACCAAACCCACTACATTAATTGGTGCACTGGCTGGGAAACTCAAATTGGCAAACCAAAACCACTATAATACCTCTGCACAGTTATTTATCACTTGGTTCTTACTGATTTCTATTCAAAGTAAGCTTAAATAAATGCTGGTATTTATTTTGCTATTGTAATACATTTTCAAGCCTTGCATTACTTGTTGCCACTTCCTTTTATACTAAATGCTCTGGTGCTGAGGTGCCTTTTGCACCCTAGAAAGCAGCCACCTTCTTAGTTACATCATCACTCCTCAGAGATTGAATTGTTTACCGCTACAACTCTAAATATCCCAGCAATAATAGATACTATCTTATATTGAAAGTGCGAGTATCTTTCCTTCTTTCTGGCTTTATCAAATTTGTTAAGCAATTCAAACACTGTAACTGCACCAATAATTATTTCATCATTCATTTTTTAACACCTGCAAGTTTTATCAAGCAACACATATAGAGATCAAACAGTATTAGGGCTCTATTTCTTTTAAGATCTATTAATTTAATATTAACTGCATTGCTTATATTTAGAGCTAAAACACAGGATTATCATAATGAAGTGTTTCACACAATAGTACTATGTCAATACTAGGAAGTTATCAAAAGCCACTTTTTTTGGGACTAACACTGTTTTCCACAAAACTACATTAATCATTTTACCTTTTTTTTTTTAACTCTCCCACTACTATCCACAATCCCTGCCATTCTTTGTGGGACTTTACAACCTTGCTTGAAGATGGCAAATCTGTGGTTCCCTCCTTTTTCAAGTGATACGTTTTAATAGTTATCTGCAAATTTTATTAGGGTTTTGTATTTGACTTTTTTTTAAATTCTAGTTAAAAACTACAGATAGTGTTAATTCATAGACCTCCTTAGCACTTAAAATTATCTTGCCCTGAAGATTTGAAGTAATTGAGTTTATCACAGGTGAACATTTAATCTTTCAGTGTATTTTTGAAAACCTTTGCCTGAGGAGTATCAGTTTTACCAACCCCATTTTCTTGTTCTTTAATCATCACATTAAGACAAGCAGTCAAAGAATTCCGTATCAGTACCTTCTGGACTCTTTAGCTCCTAGATAAAGTGTCATATATTAATCAGGTTATCTTGCAATTTTAGCATACAGCTTGCCTACCTTACCTTAGGTAACTTGTCATGCAGATGATGGTCTCTGCTTCTCCTAAAGACAGGAAGAGGTACAACTTTCTCTTCCAGTACATTGCAGGTGTGTTTGTGTATGCTCCAAAATGCTTTTCACTTATGTAGCTGTAATTTTATTCTAATTAGTCCCATTCACTTTTTTTCTGTACAAAGACTAACAAGGGCATCCAAGAAGTCACACTAGTACTCACCTTTCCAAACAGGTCTCGTCCAAAGTCTCTGATGCTTTCACTTTGTTCCCACTGAATCCTATCACTACTCCCTGATCCTACCTAGGACTTCCCTAATTTCCTTCAGCTTTCAATTATATCTCTCACTTATTCCTTACAGAAGGCACATTTTAACCTTTGACCTTTTGATACACTTTTAAAATAATCCCAGAAATGTTAAATATGTTATCAAGACCAATTACAGCTATCACTCAACTGCCAGGCAAAGATGGTTTTAACCAAACCATAACATCTTTCACATTTGGGAACTCTACCACACTACAGTCTTACAATATAAAATAAATCTTTCAACTAAGCCAATGAGTTTCTAGTCTCAAAACAGAACTTTACACTATATGTGGATGCTAAATGCAAAAAGCAAACATGAACAGAGAGCCTGTGTGAAACTAAGTCACACAAGCTTCTCACTCTGGCCTGAAAAAGCATAAGGAGGAATCCAAACAGTCCCTGGTAAAGGACAACAATCTCTGCAATTAACCAATTATAGTGATGTGTAAGTTTAATGACCAATGAGGTTTACCTCTCGGCCTTTCTCGGACCTGTCTATAAATGAAGATCAAAGATAATAAATCTTGCTTTCTTGGATGATGCAGCTAAGAGAGTCAGTGTCATGCTTCTCACTGCTCCTAATATAGTGCGACAACTATACATTTAGTTATCTTTAAAACTTACTGAACTTTCCTAATTAACACATGAAGACCTATGAGAAACTTTTCTTACTCTATTTTCAAGGTGGCAATGAAAATAAGCCAAAAGGATTCCCACTGTTAAAATTTCCTCAGCAGAACAATGCAAATTAAAAGAGCCTATGGCACTCATGAACAAATTTACTCTAAGTCTTGTCTATGTATCTAAGCTCAGACCTGTAATTTTAAACACACATTTTGCATAGCTTGGTCACTTTTTACCGTGGGTAACCCAGCTGATATGTAGCACAGCTACATATCAGAAGGACGTTTAAGCTGTACTACTGCAAAGCATGCTCTAGGGACCTGCAACACTGCTGCAATATCAGCAGAATATTGCACCTAAAGTAACAAGCTGCTTTTTCTGAGACACAGACTAGTATTTATAGAAGATAATGGCATAATCTGCAAACATATTCTGACTGGATATTAGAAATTTTTTTCCCCATGAGGACAAGTAAGCAGAGGTACAGGCTGCCTAGTCTTGATCCTTGGGGTTTTCCAAGACAGTCCAGATAAAATCTATCAGCAAGCTGGACCAGCCTCAAGGCTGCCCTTGCTGCAAGCAGCAGGTCAGGAGAGACCTCCTGGGGTCCCTTCCCACCTAA